CTGGGGTGTGGCGCTTTCACAAGCACTACAACTTCAACCTAAATCCTCAAACCATAGGGGTTGATCATTGACAGCCTATGCTTTAAAGTGCAGCCGAGTAGAGCTTGACACCTGGTCGGCTTTGCGGTCTAACTTCTTGTATGATCCGTGACAAAAGAACCCTGTTAAGAAACGCTGAGAACCTGAACCTCAAACCCTGCACCCAAACAAGCATACTGTAGCCCCCAGAGAGTTTGTGGCTGACACACATCCTAACAACACCCAGGTGGCCCAGGACGACAGGAGCGAAAACTACACTGGCAACAAAAACACTGGAGCCTCAAGCGAAGATCCTGACAGACAAAGGCCTTCTTGCTCGGATCCTTGTACTTGCTAACCTCTCTTTGGATGGCGTCCTGCGAGCACATCATCCAAGCCAAAGCTGATACAAGTGACCCTGAATAACCTGCATCAAAGCTGCTGGACATCTCAAGAAACAAGGCAGGACAAACCAATCCCTTTCCGACAACTCCAGCAATCACAGTCTTCGACAACTCCACATGCTGTAAGTACCAGCTCGATACTTGAAATGCATGTCCTGGCTCGGCAGCTCCAAACACTGTAAATTGCTGCGCTTCGTGCTGTCAAGTAAAACATCTCAATTGTGATGGGCCGCTGCTGGCTTACTTGCTTGCTCGTCTCCCCGAACAGAACGGAAGCATGTGTCGCGCACACATACGAATGGACAACAACACTGAACAGGTGTTGGATTTCAGGGGCCGAAGTTTTTTTAAAGCCTGATTCAAGGTTCAAGAGCGGCTTTCTGGTCAGGCAGCAAGCTGAGATCCTAAATCTACACCCTGAACCCCCAGGCCAAACTTTGCACAACTCCGATTCCTTGAATCCTGAATTCTGGTGCCCTCGCGCCTTCTCTCGCTCGCCCTTCTTCTTGCTAACCTGAGCTTCGAAGGCTTTTGGGTTGCCACACATGGACGATGCAAACCCCTTGTAGAGCATCGTGTAGTGACTTGACTACGTGGTTCTGCCCCGTGAGGCAAATCAACTCTTGTGCTCGACTGAGGGACTCTGGATTTCAGTCAAGGGTACTCAACTCCGCCAGCCCGAATACGGTCTGAAGTGGCCAGCGATACCATCGTGGCCCCCATACCGTCGCAACTCCCATGACTCCCAACCATCAAAAACTGTTGCTAGCGAAGTGCTGTATGTTGCTATGAGGCCCAGATTTGAGCCCTGAACTGAAAGTTCGAGCCAGCTCAAGTGAAACAAAAACGCGTCGATCCATCTTTTCGCACATGTAAGTATGGAAATTTGTCGAGGGGGTTGTGTTGCGAAACTTTCCGCGGAATTCTCTGAGGCGGCACTCCAAGATACTTGCGGGATTCTCTGACTCCAAAGATACCGATTAAGAATTCTTACTTCTGGAGTATAGTTACGGGACGTATACGTTACCTGCGGGGGGACTTGTCATAAGCTTCGTGTACAGCTTTCGGCTTTTTGTGTCTTTATGAGCTCTCCATAATAGCCCCTGTTTATCCAACTCAAGGTCCTTGATGTTGAAAAGTGAGAACGTTCAGGGCCTGGATTTATGGTTTTGGCCCTCCAAGCAATATAAATCCAAACCAAGCTTCTTTGTTGAAACAAACTTCCTGCAACCCTACTAAACCTCACAGCGCACAAAATCCACAGAAAGTATGTACGGCATTGTTTTGGAGCTCTGTATCAGCAGCAACCACAACAAAGGTAACAAAGGTCACGTCATCGATTGCGGCCCCGCGTGCTTTCTTTAAACTCTCTTTTTTACATGCTATTTCTGGGTTTCACAGGCGAAAACACGAAAACAACTCAAGGTTTTGCGCCTTCGCTACACGCGGCGCCTTTTTTTGTCCTCAAAGTTGGGTCTGACGCACAGTGCGTTTTTCGAACTCTTCACAACAAAAACGTGCTTAGGACGTCTAGCGCTCTTGCATGTGTGCTGTACAAGGGTTGAAGGGTTCGACCTCTAAAGCCTACCCCCAAAAGCCTGGAGCCTAAAACCCCTACCGTAAACTCCCTGAGTTGAGTTTAGTTGAGTTTAGGGTGCTCACCCGAAGGACTGCAGGGTTTAGACTGGAGGTTTTCGACTGCTGGGTTTGGGAGTAGGGTTCAAACTGTAGGGCACGTAACCGGGCGTGTGACTGGTTTGTGCTAACGTCATCGATTACGCTCCGTGGCTTTTGCGTGTTCCGGTTTTTTTTCAGGACTGTTAAGGGGTGAGAATGGGGGACGGGGGGAGGGGTAAATAACGTGCTTGCGGCTAGCCCCTACACACTACACCCTAAACCCTGCAGTCCAAACCCTACACCCTGCTTCAATGTCGGGAACAAGGGAAGAGAATGGAGGACAGCCTATGAGCCGCAAACAAGTATGCGAATCGGGGCCTCGTTGTTATTTTGCACCCGAAGTTGTATTCATCCAATGTAAAAACCGCAACAATGGCTTGTAACTCCAGCTCAAGTATTAAGTGAAGAAATATCTTGCAGGTCATATACCCTTACAGATTAAATATTCGTTGCTGAACATACATTGGAGATCAATACTGACTCAAAAACGTTCTATTATTTATAGGGTCGGGAATATTGGAAGAAGAAGCAGGACAGCGTTGCCGCCATTTTTCCTTTCTTAAAAAGAATTGTAGTCCTAACTTTAAGATTGAAAACTAACTATGTGAGTCCCAACAGTTGCGCTATGCACCGTTTTAACTTGCGAGATCAAGATAACTTTTCTATAAGTTCACGCACTAATTTAGTGAACGCAGTCTTACTTTCAAGTTACAGAGCATCTGCCATGAAATCAATCAACTTCCCAAACTCCCCAATACGCGTGTGTCACATAGGCGGCTTTGTAGAAACATACATAAAGCCTGATTTTGCAATAACCTACATGCGAACCGTCATGGCACAGCATGCAGAGCCTAATTTCGCATAGGAGACGCTGTCACGGCACGACAAGCTTGAGAAAATACCTTTGTGTTAGGAGCGATACTGTGTGTGTGAGAGCGCGCATGATAAACTTTAATGTGTGTGTGTGTGTGAATGAACGAAAAAGTAACCAAAGCATCTCTACCACCGATTTCTGCTTGTTAAACAAGACATACAACAACTCGGAATGAATGATGATAACGATCTGATAAAGTATCGTAAATGCGATGTCCAATGCTTCGAGTAGACACGGTAAGAAAATGTGGTTGCACAAAACGGCAAGCACAGAAATGAGAGAGGTGGATCATGGGGGGGGGGGGAGGGGATGAGCCTCAGCAGCCAGGGGGCCAAAGCTGGTTTGATGTCTTTCGGTCTCTTCAGGCCCCCATCCTCGTCGTCGTCATCCTCCTGCGTTGGGGAAAGTGTGTCGAGCATGAAGTTTTCGAACTTACAGAGTTTTTGGGTTTGCTAAGCTAGGGCTCTAAGCGCTTGAAGACGCAGCAAGTGCAAAACTCGAATCTCCAAGCCCTAGATCCCTAACCCTTCCACGGAGACTGCATGATTTGTTGCTGGGGCTTGAGTTGGGGAGGGGGGTTAGCCTGCAATGTCCTCTTGGCCCACGTCCCAGTGGCCGTTGAAAAGTCCCGATTATGACCACCTATCCTTTTAAGGTTTAGGGCTTTGGCTGTAGAGTTCATTGAAGGGCTTGCTGTCTTTGGGCTCTTTGGGCTTGATCTAGGCTTCACCCAGCTGGCTGCATTGCCTGTCCCGGTTTGTCAGTGTGCTCTCAGCTTCTGATAGCTAGTAGGAAACAGTTCTAGGCTCTAGGGCTCAGGCAGGGTCCAGATGTTTGTTTCGTATTAGTTTTTGGAGTTTGTGCTTCTTGCTTTGGTCGCAAGCACTGTAAATGGCAGCATTCCTGAGTTTGCAGAGGCTGCAAAGACTGTAAAGCTCATCATTTCTGAGCTTGCAGAAGCTGCAAATATTGTAAATAGCGGCATTTCTGAGTTTGCAAAGGTTGCAAATATTGTAAGTAGCAGCATTTCTGAGTACTCAGAAACTACATACAGATTCTGTAAATAGCAGCATTTCTGAAGCTTGACAGGCTGCAAATACTGTAAATAGCAGCATGTCTGAGTTTGCAGAGGCTGCAAATACTGCAGAAGGCAGCATGATGGGTTTCGCCAATGAGGGCTGCGCGTGCTTGCTTCGAAGCACATCGCATGATGGGTTTCAAGAAGACTCATATGCTTTGAAGCAAGCTTGCACGGCTGAAAAAGCGGGGCGGGGGGGGGGGGGGGGGGGTGGGGCCCTTCGCCAGTGCATCAATGCTCTTGGGACTTTGAGCCGTGTCTGTGGGTAACTGACTGCAGCAAACACCTCCTGCGTGCAGTTGAGAGACCGAATTTCTGACTCGTTGATTAAGCGGCCATCTGCCAGTCCAGGACCGAGACCGAAGGCTCACAGACTGACAGACTCCAGAGCGGAAAACAGGACCGACTGACTGACCGGCCGTCTGGCTCCAGACAGGAACACGTAGAAATTCTGCCATTTACAGGTCTGAAAACTCAGAACTGCTGCTGTTTACAGTATTTGCAGCGTCTGAAAATGTGAAATGCTGCTACTGAAAACTCGGAAAGGCTGTCATTTACGGTATTTACAGCCAACATGAAAAGGGTCAGAGGTTGGTCATTCGACCCTAGAGGGAAAGAACTTGCTCGACCTCAACCTACCGCCAGCATCTGGCAGAACCGCCTCCTACCAAAAATGAGAATATTGGTGCAACACCCTGAACCCCCAACCGAACGACCTGCAACGCCAAATCAAAAGCTGTGTTGACAGCTGGGCTAAGGAACAGCTTACTTCGAGGACGCCATTGTGTGACTGGTAAGATTTCAACCAGCCAAGTACGGCCAAACGAAGCTTATATTATTGTTGAGGTGGTTGCACGTATGGTTGTTGCCTTCACCACCCTTCCCACAATGTGGTAACTGCCCACCATATTCGATTCCGAAGTCTTGTCAAGACCTTTTTCTCACACAATCAGAAAGGCTGTGGGCAAATCAGAATGTGCTCAATGGCGGCGCTGGCCAACTCATCCTTCTCAGGCTGAAGTGCAGGCACTAGCAGGCACGACTAGCATGGATGTGTCGGGTTCTCCAGGGTCTATGTGGCCGTGCTAAGACATTTGCGTTCGTCGGTTTGTCGCCCTCGCCCTCGCATCCTTCTGAACAGAAAATGCTAGAAACACATGTAGCTAAAATACATCCCCCCCCGTCGTCATTGCATAAAATTCCACCGGATGATGAAAGAGGGAACTGTCCGTGGGCAAAATAAGACGACGTAGATACCACTGCTCAACAGTCATGCATAGTTAATGTATAAGCTTGAACCCGGAATCCCAGAAGGAGACCCGACCCGAGAAAAGCGGTATTATGCTCATCTCACAATGTCTTACAGCAGCCCTTCTTCAACTGAGACAACCGCTTCGGGTTTAGGGCTTCACAGCAAACAAAGCCAAGGCCTCACCCACATCTGCATCCAAGGCCTGCTGAGTGGTCTTTAGATGGTCTTTAGAGTAGCGAGTGCCCTGCACAGGTCCACGATCCCTTCTGAAAGCAGTCGGTTGAGGCGGTCTGGCTTAGGATGGTTCAGCGTTTGGGGTTTGACTCTGCTTTACACGTTTTGGCTTCGTGCTTCAGAACTTGCGCGCACTGACCAATTTCCTCTCTCGCCACGATCCTGCGGTACGTGCACCCTGTGGCCCTCAACTGACAGTCTCGAAAGCATCAAAAGGAATCTCCGGTTTGGAGTCTTGGTTTGAGGCTTACAAGGAATGTCGAGGATGGTCTAAAGCTATACACCGAGCGCTGCAGTGAATCAACAAACCCTAAGTAACAACAACCCCTACAGCATCCTTGTTTCCTCATCTAAACGCCTAAGAAGCCTAAGCTCCCCCAGAGTCAAAATTGGAAACCTGGGGCAATGTTGAATGGCCTGGATAACCCCACATTGACATGTTGTTCCAAGAACTTGAGGCAAGAAATAAACGCCGGAAGGAGGACTACAGGAAAGAGTGAGAGTGCATGAATGCATGCATTTGTGCGTGTTGGACAAGTCATTCAGCGCGTACTAAACCCCCGATTAAAGCCAGTGAGTGCATGGGTGAGCTTATTAGTGAGTGTATGGACGGCCAGTGGAATTTAGCGAAGTGGGTGAGGTAAGTAAGTTGAGTGAGTGAGCGAGCTTGGAGGGTGAGTTTGGAAAGTGATAAGTGAGTCAGAGAACCAGTGTGAGTTTGGTAAGTGACACTGGAACAAACCCTATTGGCGTCCGACATCCAGTCTCGTGGACCTTGACCACCCCACTTGAACAACAAGCAAGACTGCAACGCATGCAGGGTCTAAGCAACACTGACAGCCCTACACCACTGAGCCTGTGTGCGGAGGTAGCGCAAAAGCTGCCCAGGCGAGCGCCAGCGCGTGACCAGGAGCTCCACACAGCCGGCCTAGGGTTGCTTCTGTGGAGGACATTCACGCCTGTATACTGCCCTGAAGTCGCAGGAAAGCCGAGCAAGAGAGGCAAGAGCCTTGTCGTGCCCGAGGTCTAGGGTCTTAGCGAGTTAGGGTCAGAGGATTGGAGGCCCGACGCTTCCCCGGGAAACTTGCCTTCAAGCCTACCCTCTCAGTGAAAGTGCGGAAAGACACTGTTCAACTTGTCGAGACATGACAGAACATTGAACAAGCCTTGAGTTCAAGTTTCCGCAACACTCACCCCGTCAGGCCTCTCGCTCATTGCTGGCGATGTACTGGAGACGCCCACCACAGCGCCAAACCTCGCAGAGCGCCTGCAACTCCAGCAGTTTCGGCTGGGTCCAAATTGGCGAAAGCACTGAAAACCCAAAACTTCACCACACATGGACAGATAAGAACAGATTGTACATGTGAAACGGAGCCCTTCATGAGAGAAACGAAAGTCCTTTACAGGGTGTATGTGGGTTTTTGGATCTTTGAATGATCTTTGAGGCACTTTGGAGGCTGTCGGAGATGGTGGCTGCGGAGACTGGAGAGGGTTTGGCACAAGGGCTTCGTTTTTGCAGCTATCAGCATGCAACGGACAATTCCCTAACCTTCACAAAGGCAAACAAAAACCATATCTTAAGTCATATCTGTTCTGGCACTATGCCAGAGCTCCGGAGTTGCCATCCCAGACATATAAGGAGAGTCAGACCTGCGTCGTGCTGGCAAGTTGATGCTTGGACTCCCTTGGAATAACGACACCATTCAGGACATCTGACAGCTGAACTTGCTGCATAAGCTTCAGTACTCTTTTGGCCCACGCATGTTGTACCAATTTGCCAATCATCGCGTATCGCATATGCGTGGCCACAAAAGCTGATGCTCATGTCTGCACCTAGAAACGGCCAGCCGTGCAGATATCGGAAGAGTCACAGGTGCCCATCGCGTCACACGGCTTGCAGAGTAGACAGCGATCTTATAATCCTCAGATGCTCGGTAAGAAAACTTCAGAAGTCGAAGGCATCTCGAGGATGCTCGCTGTTCCATATGTGAGAGCTCACAACGTACGATGCTTGGCAGGCGCTGATGTTTCAACATGTTCTACGATCTGGAGATATCTGGAGTGCCCTTTCGCAGCAAGTTGTCAAGAATGCGCTTGTTCGTTTGAACGAGAACAAAAACCGTGCAACGTGACTGCCAAAGTGCAACTCCCCAAGTGGGCGCTCGCCATAAAACCAAGGAAAACGACACTGACATACACTGACAGAATATGACTGCCTCAAGGCCTAAAAAATGAGCAATCGCAATGTGAGAAACACCGTCAAAAACCAGCACTTCTAATTTCGCTTTTCAGTTCGCTCCAACTAGGCGCAGGGGCACGGGGCTCACAATTAGTGTTTAACCGGTTGTGTTTTCTGACCCTTGAGGAAGTTTCTGAGTTTGGACTGATCCGCAACCCCCCCCCCCCCCCGCCCCCCAACTCAGAGCCCTAAAGCTGAGGGCCTAGTTCCCAACCGCAAATCACAAGATGTTGCGCTGTGAATGTCACTCTGAATTTCAAACCCAGATTCCAGAGCCTTAATCCCATCAAACAAACCCTAGCATTTGGGCTACACCTCCGCCCCTAAAAGTGCCCTAAGCCCCCCCCCCCCCCCCCACCCCCCCCCCCCCTCCCCAATCGAATTCGACTAGCCTCGGCAGCGGCTTGCCGAGCTCGGCTAAAGTCCATGCTTCCGAGCGAGATGAAGTGCAACTGGGTGTGCTTTTGTATTCGATCTTGAAGGGAAGTGTCCTGGAATGCTCAAAAACATGAAGGGATTGTTTATGAGCACTTAGATGCTTAAACATACATATCATTGACAGGGGTTTGGAAAGTGGGATCTGCAAGGCTGTTTGGGGTGCAAGGCTCCGCTTCGGGTGCCGCAGTCTGACAAACCCAACTTGCCAGAAATTTGGGGCTGTTGGTGCTCTCGGGGTTTGTGCATTGGGATTGTGGCTGTTTAACGGGTGGCAAGTATCAACTTGAGGCTCAGCTTGACCCTCAACCCGAACCGTGACCCGAGACCACCCCACATCCAGAACATAGATGGTGCCGAACAATTCATGGGGTTTGGCAATGTGGAGGCCGTCATCAGATGGCGAAAGAGACGAAAGAGATCCAATCCAAAGCATGGCCCTGCAACCTCAAATCCTTGGAGGGCCTCAACACCTTTTCAAGGTCCCACCAGAGGCCCCCAGGGCCCATGCCGCAGCCAGCGAGGCGGCAGGCTGTTGCGCAACCTGTTCGTTTGAATGGGTTCTTGACACATCGGCACATCGACACTTCGTGCAAACCCTAACTAACCCATGAGTCTTGAGCACTGAACGTCCAAATCCCGCGCAACTGCCATGGAAGAAGTACATGCTTAGGACAAGGGCCTGCTGCGCAAGGAGGCGGTTCCAGCCCTGGCGGTTTCTTGAAGAGTCTTGGGGGTGCATCATCTGGCATCAAGGGCGTTTGTCTCTACCTCGGGTTTAAGAACAGTGTTTGGGGGCTTGTTTTGGGCCTCTTCTTTTTCTCTGCTTGGAGTACAGCAGACATTTGTGACCCCACCTACCTGAACACCCATCATGGTCCGCCCGAACCTTGCACAGTTTCCAGCCAATGGCGCAGGACTCCATTCGTATTCACAGGTTCAGGCAGACAGTGCTGAAAAGTTTGAGTGCCAAGGGGCAGGGAGGTTTGGGACGGTTTTCATGCTGTTCATACGTGGACTTGCTGTTTCGAATCTGCACATCCGGGACAAAGGCGCTGCCATTTCATTCGCTTGGAAGCAGTATGATTCAGCTTGGGCGAGAGATGCTTGCAACAGTTTCAACAGAGGTTCGAAGTGAATAGCTAAGGCAGCTAAGCCGCTAAGCCAACCAGTGTGCAATCTTCCCGACAGCGCTGCTTCATCAAGCTCCGGGTTCGAAGATGAATTACGAGGCCACCATGTCAGCAGGAGGCTTTCGCCTTTCAGAAGCTCTTGGTAGCAGGCTAGATGGACTACATGATCTCGCTGCCGACCCGACCTTTGGCAACTCTTGACTTCAAGAAAGATCGCGAGAGTCTGGCCTTGCTGAAGCTCCGCAGCTGTGGCGGAGGTTCCCGGCCCAGCCGTCGCCTCAACATTTCAGGCCATCCACAGCAGTCCTACAGTTGAAACCTGTTGCATGCACTGATCTCTTCGGCTCTACAGCTACGAAGTTTCTCAACAACGAAGCAGAGGGACGCTGGGGTGATAGCAGGACGACAAAAGCACCGGCCAAACGATTGAAATCCCTTCAGCACAAGAGACTTAAAACAAAAGCCTTTCAACCCCAAACAACCCAAACCTCATATAGAAAGAAGCAGACTATGATACCTGGCTGACCTAGTTCAAAGCGGATATGGTTCAACTTCCGGGTCCTTGATACGCAACTTGATTCTTTTCTGAGTTCTTTTTATTCTGCTCCACTGGAGCCATGAACTCCGAATCCCGGCGTTGGCTATCCCAAGTCCCTAACACCCTGGACCCGCTTCCTAAGCTGTTGCCTGGCAAGCAGTTTCAGCGCAGCCCAGCGCAGCTCCCAAGTGCGCCTGCATTTTGGGTTTAGGTGTAGCCTTCAAGGCGCCGCATGATAACTTGCTTGCTTCGACGTGGCTCAGAGTGCACAGAGGGGGCTGTAACAACGAGCCTCCCTGGGAACATTTTGACAGTGCAACCCTACACGCTTGTAGTTTCAGCACGAAGAATCCAGAGTCGTTGGTTAAGAAAGCATGACCTCTGCAGCCAGTTTGGGATTCTGATCTTCAGACACGAGCCTCGACTTTTGCAAGGCATCTTTGAGCAAGATCTTGACGCCAACTAGACTTGCACTGAATCTGCAAGTATTCTGACCATCCTAGCCCAACGCATTCATTTAACATGATTGCTGCAACCGAGGTGTGAATCGTATCCGGGAAACAGCAACATTTACGGCGTTTGATCAAATAAAGCAGATACATGCCAACTATGGGGTCCTGATCGGGGAGAGCGAGTATAAACGCATTCTTGTGTGTACACACACACATGCACACAAAATCATGTGTTCTACATGCATATACATGCAGAGGGCGCATTGTTATTTGCGAAATCTATCTGATCATTGATCGTGCCTTGGCTGCAGCTGCATCGTCTCGAACATCTCTACTGTGGCCTGGCATTGGCTTCGTTCAAATTTCAGTGCGGGCCTCAGCAAAGCTAACTCAGGGCAGTCAAATCTCAACTCTACGTCCCATACACTCTAAGGCCCCACACCGGAAACCAAGTGTCCTAAACTTGAACAACATACCCTCTTCACCTTCTGAAGGTCTGTCATCTCCGGCAGATGAAGAAAAGCCTGGCAGAGGCTCGCAAGTCCCCATGCTTTCTCAGGTTAGAATCCATGCTAAAGTTGAGAATCGCTTCGGGCTTGAGGATTCAGAGGAGGGCCACTTGAAGCTCAAGGGCCTATGACCCTAGGGCTGAGGACATGGGAGGGGCAATGGATGGCCTTCCCAGACATGCTGCTCATGTACATTTAATGTAAATCCGTTCTGCAGCGCCAAATCGCTGAACCCTTCGCCCGGCAAGGAAATGCTCTCACCCCACCTCGGCGGACCCAGCATCGGGAAACTCCATGAGCCTTCCATTAGAAACTCAGAAGCCGACATTCAGCTGGAAATCCTACAACGCATTTTCAAGCCCTTGAGAGACACTCAACTCCCTTCACCACCTTTACAGGAATCTGGGCCCTAGATTCTACGACTTCGCTTCAACTCTAAACACCACAAACGCAGTACACAGTGCACCGAACACGTGGAATCCTCACCAATACACGCCATCTCTGACAAGACGAAGGCGTGTCCCTAAAACCCTTCAAAGGAGAGCCTCAGGTCCACGACCCAACCAGGCTGTCTACCTTAAACACTCCTGTCCGGCATTCTCTGAGCCTACCAGCGCTGAGGGCCTGAACCGTGAACTCCCCCTCCTTGACTGCTGAATTCTTAGCGGTCTGAACGATCCCCAACCCTACTCAGGTCCCAGGATCGCTACGTGCTCCATGTCTGCACCCTCCAGGCCCTGAGGCAGTAGCCTTGGTGACGTAGCACTCAGTCATTTGTTGTTGGTGTTTTAGGGAATGCTGTGAAGTTACCTCGGGCTGCTGCAGCGTGCAGCCCCTTACAACTGCCAAAGGCTTCAAATGGCTTCGGGGCCAAGAGGTTGGGGCTGAGGATCCCCAACATCGCGGATGCTCTCATCATACCATCCCACTACCTGCATGTTTTTGACAGGACCTGGACAGCTTTGTACAGGAGCTTGCTGATTAGGCTTTCGGCTCAAGGGCTGGCGGGATTCGAAACCACGGCAAAGCAGGCCATTGTCTGAAGCTGGCAGCTAAGCAACATCCCCTCAAGAACTGTGCGGCCATTGTAGGTGTCCCGCACCACAGGCATGTCGAGGAGAAAGGTTCCTTCAGGGAGCCTTTGGAATAGCACGCTTAGGCTCTCGGCTTTCTGGATGGAATTCGTGGTTTAGAAGCGCTGGAAAGAGGCCAGCCAGGTGTTCTGGTGCTGTGTTTAGGCCAAGCCTTCTGAACGAATACCCCGGCCCCCGAACCTACTGGAGACTAGCCTTCGGCATACAAAGCTTGAACTTTGGAAGCCAAGTCCCAATACCGTAGTGCACTTCCAGAAGGCAAGAGTTGAAAGATACAGCATGATACAGCAATCTCAGCCAGGGAGAAGAGCTTCTTTGTATGTGCGAAACATGGACGCCAGCGAGCTTCGGGCGATGCCTAAAGGCCCTGAGCCCTTCGGCCTTAACACCCTACAGACATGGTTGACAAACAGGAAGCCTGCTGTAGCTTGGTCACGTAGCACAGATCGCTTCTTCAGGACACCACCAAGGTAGCGTGCCTTAGCTGCTGAGCGTTCAAGGCCGAATGGTTTTAGGCCTCATCTCTTCGAACAGGGGTCGCGCTTTGTGCTTCTTATGTTAGGCTGCGGTGCGCACCCGAGCTGGGCGCAGACAAAAGGTGCTTAGGTGCCTCTTTCTTTGGAATTCTCGGATGTAGCTTTATTCAATGTTTGTGGGCATGGGGACTTCCTGCCGTGCACAAGGATGCTGCATGTCGTCAGCAGTTGATGCTTTCGTGCTTGTGTGGGAGCACCGTGCAATTGCTTCACTTCATTTGATTTTCCGTACACGCCATTCCTGGCCCCTGGAGTCCATATGTGCACACTTCCATTCTTCATCACCCATGTGTTTTCGCGATGCCTTCCTGGTGCGGCATACACGTAAAACCAACTATGTCAGCGAAGACAAAGAACAGAGTGAATGGAACCAAGCCGGCTCAAGTTTAAACCTGCTGTCGCAATTTGGTGCGTTTTTCGTAGCGGAAGACCTGCATGTGAAGGGCGGGTTGAAGGTGTCCTGAAATTACACTCTGGAAGCAGGTAATCAAGCCGTTGACAACAAAAAAGGCTGTGCAAGTCCGCATACATCCAATTCTTGCAAGGTGGCTAGCTGCAGGACGCAGCTTACCAGAATAACGGAGTGATTTGGGACACAAGACAACCAACAAATCGGGTTGAACAATCGGGCGACTTTTCTTTGGCATTAGCTGGCAGAGTCAGCGCAGATTTGGCAAAACGACAAAGTGTTCATCAGTCTGTCATGAAAAACCGACCACGTCCGCGTGTGCTTACTCAAGAGAAGGCACATGCTTTTTACAAACTAGCTCCTGGTACATATTGCTCGGCAAGAAATGTTTGAGGACTGTTTCAGGGCCGCTTTCCGCGGGTGACGCGAAACTTTGGGCAGGATCTGGAAGAAAGCCAGAATTCTTTTTGCAAATTATCGGCCAAAACAATGGCTGAACTGCGACCTGGCAAAAAGAACCACAAACCAGCCGAGATTTTGGCTGTGTGAAAGTCATGACGTTTCCGCACGTGCCTGGAGCCGCAAGGGCTTTCTGTATTTATATCGCAGAATATTTCTGGATTTGTTTCACGTGCGGTGACATGGAAACACGGATATTTTTCTTTTGCGGATCACGAACAAGCGAAATATTTCAGGATCTTTTGCTCACGTGCTCCCATGCAAGCAAGGGCACATTGCTTCTGTATCCGCAAGTAAAACCCACAGGCTTCCTGCCACCTTCACAGTCCTGCGTCTACATGCAGAAGAGCAACTGACTCCTACATAGGCACTAGTCACTAGTCTTGGAAGGTTTCGGGTCGGAAGCCTCGAAGATTTTCACGACCTGACCATCCTTCCACTGAGCCGATGGCCGTGGCACCACCTGTGGTTCGGAGCAGCACATGGCCGAGGAGAGGCACCACCCTAGGATCCAAGGATTTAGGGCTTGAAGGCTTCGTCACGTGTACTTGTTTGATAAGGCGATTGGGTCTCCGAAAGCTGAACACCCTGAACCCTCCTCTCTGAGGCTAACATTCCCCCTTCCCCCACCAGTTTAAGGTTGAGGGTTGGGGGCTCTAGGGTTTTGGGGCTTCGGGACGGCCCGCAAATGTGTACTAGTAGCAAGAAGATCAACCCCTGCAAGCACCTCTGCACCCTTAAAGCCCTGCTTCCACCACGCAGCGTGGCCAGTGCCGCAAAACCCGTGGCCGCGCCCGCAAGCCCAGTTACGGCCGCGGCCTTCGAGTTGGTGAGGGGCGGGTGCTTCTTCGAGACAACTCGGTCTCCAAAAACTGGATGTCGGGTGTATGCACACTCTGAAGTAAGTTGCAAGGCGTCCTTCGGTTGGTCCTAAACATCTGGATAGAATGCTTCATGTTTGTTGTTCGAGGGTTGGAGGACCGAAAGCTCCGGAGGACTTCAGAACTCGAAAGATATCACAGGAGGAAGTCAGGGACCCTTCGTTGGGGAATGTTAGAATATTTCGGTTGGCATATTCTTCAAGACGTGCTGGAGGCCGGTGGAAGCTGGTAAGGGGGTGGAGGTGGTGGGGGCTGGAGGGGGGGGGGTGGAGGTGGAGGGGTCTTCTGTCTCAACTTCGACCATACACAATGCATTAACAAATAGCTTGAGACGTTGTGTGGTTTGCATGTTGTGGCCATCATGTTCTAGGCGCTCGTGACCCCGAAGATCCCAAAGTCAACAAACATCATCGCATGCGCAGGGTTGTCCACTTTGACGAATACCGCGCATGCCTTCTTTGGGTTTTCTGGTTTCACAAGTTTAGGTTGATATGTAGAAATTCAAGGCTTCCACATGCAACACACCTGAGCATACGTCTTGCAGCTCCAACCTTACTTCTCAAGCCACACTGAAAAAAAGTTCCCAACCGAACCCTCTACATCGCACAACCGCAGTCGCAGGTGCACCCTGAATTGCTAAGGCCCACAGGGCTTTAAGCGTCGTCTTCACCCTGAAATTCTCACTGCCCGCAGCCTTGGCTAGCTGAGTGCGACTTTTTTCAGGACCTGGCGCAGCTTCTTGCAAGGTTAGGGCTTGGAATGGCTTGGATCTCGACCAAGGTTTGAAAGCGCTTTTGTAGGACTCAGCATCACCACCTGCGAACGGAATGATGGGACCATTTACGACATCTGACAAATAACTGGACTTGCCAGTGCAGGTAAGCCTTGCCTGGTTTCAGCACTATTTTGGCCCACGCATGTTGTAAAAACGTCGTGAGACCCTCAGTTCGCCAGTCAACGCATATCCACGTCGACAAAACTGCTGCACAGCATGCAAGCTGCCAGCCGTGCAGCTTAAGAAAAGTCACAGGTGCTCATTTGTGCCACCGCTGCCAATCCAATTGCCAAGATTCCCTCATGATCTCGTACGCTTTGCAAGGTATGGCTGCGATTCCGACTTCATAGTTGTAAAGGTGCCTGTATGTATGTATATACATATATACATATACATATATATATATATATATATTATGCATAATGCATATATCCAAAGGTTTAAGGCGAACGCGGGCTGTGACATCAGCCTTGGCGGCAACACACTACATCATGTACTTTTTTGTGAAGTGGTGGCGGGCATCATCAAACCTTGTGTGAACTTGGATGGATGTGAGCCTGAGCAGAAGAAAGCTGTTAACATAGCACCTCAGAACAAGCACCTGCTGAACTACACTTGAACGAACGAACGAACGAACGAACGAACGAATGAATGAATGAATGAATGAATGAACAAACGAAAGAACGAATGAACGAATGAACGTGTGTGTCCACTGTTCGGCCCAGAGTCGAAGCAAAAGTCTGTCTCTGTGTGTGTGTGTGTGTGTGTGTGTGTGTGTGTGTGTGTGTGTGTGTGTGTGTGTGTGTGTGTGTGTGTGGGTGTGTGGGTGTGTGGGTGTGTTAGTTTTCTGAGGCTGGTTATTCTGTGGGCTACCGTGTATATACTCGTTTGATGAATCGAAACAAGATAGAGGGTTCACATGTCATGATCTGACCATGACGCATGGGTCGTGTTTGGACCGGACAATCTCTGACACAGAGTCCTCGCATTCCTTCCGTGATATGTAATCTGCATCGGTTCAAGCAAATGCAGAGACTCACACACACACACACACACACCCACGGAGACAGCTTGGTGAATGTGATCCCACGAAGGCCTCGTTCCTTTTCCCGCAGGATACCACGGGGCCGTGGAGCCTCTGGCTCACCCTGAGGCGAGTTGCATGGCTTCGGGTGGAGACTTTTCAGGGCAAACTACTCTGAGAGCTTGTTCGGGCTCACGGAACTGGTTCAAAGGGTTTCTTTGGGGTATGCTGGGAGTCTCGGGTGATATCGTCTTCCAGGTCTGTAACCTTGCATTGAACATCATCTTCATGGTCTCCCTCACGAAGGTCGGAACGGTCTTAAGCTGAATGCAAATGACGACACGTCGCTGCAATGGCATACGCGATTCCCCATGGTTCCGCGCCCTGGCCCTGCTGGCTGCTCTGTCTTCCCCAGATTTTGTGTCGAGAATGCGCTCGAAAACAGTAGCTTCGACATCGTTTGTTTTTTTTGTTTGCCGCCTCGGTCATGATGCGCGTGCTTTAAGTCGTCCGTGTGATCTGATCCATGCCTTTTTGAAGGCAAGGGAAACCTGTCTCTGCCAACTCTCCAGTTGAATGCGGAAAACCACCCTGAGAACAACACGCCCGAAACCCTTGCGCGTAACTGCGGAAAAATGCAACCGCCTTCGGAAATAAGAAGAATCTGGAAGATCCTTAGGCGTCAAATCCTGAAGCCCTTGGAGACCTGAAACCTCTGAGTCCAAACTTTAGAAATCCTGTATGCGGATAAGCCTCCTAAGCTCTACAACTTCTAAACCCACACGCACCTTTTACCCCCAACGACACGCAACATCCTCAATCTACGCCCTCAACGAACAGGCGGCCTGGGGCTTAACCAAGCCCGAGAGCTGCCGGGCGAAGCGGGACATCAGCAACTGGGCTCAATTGAGATTGTGAAGATTGCGAACGGGT